TTAGCTAGACCTTAAATTCGGGTTTGGCCCAACCCTAAATTCGCGTTCAGCTCAACCCCAAATTCGGGTTTAGCTAAGCCTTAAATTAATTCGGGTTTAACTATATTAACCCTAAATTCGGGTTTAGCTAAACCCTATAAATCTAAACATTAAAATCGGGTGAAGTAAGCCTTACTTACATTCAGGTTTAGCAACATATAGCAACATCCTAAATCCGGGTTTAGCGAAGCCTTAAATTCGGTTTAGCTAAGCCCTAAATTCGGGTTTAGCTAAATCCTAATTCGGTGTGTAGCTAAACCCTGAGTTCGGCTTTAGCTAAATCCTAAATTCGGGTTGAGCGGGCAGCGGGTCATCTAGCAGAATCTAGCACTCATCGCTTCTGACCCCATGGATTTCTCACATCTGCTTGACCACGCATGCCATTGCCATAGCCATCAGCACTATCTGCGGCAAGGCGATCATCATCTTTACCAGATGTTGCCAGCATCAATGTCTTTCAGTATCGTCACCGCGCTCATTATGTCATCATTGGCATCGCCGTGAATTTGCCAATCGTCATGTTTTGTGGGTTTGCATACCTTTTAATGTTTGCGTGTACCATCGAGTTGCTTAATTTCGTGCCCGCACCTGCTGAACCAACCTCCTTATCATCATCATCATCATCATCATCACCCGTCATCACCCGTCATCACCCTCATCATATTCATCCTTTCATTGATATCGCGACTGACGCGGTCGAGTCTGTTTTTGCCACGCATCGGCCGAAACTCTTAAAAAGACGCTGCTGTTGTCAATATTCCGCAAGATTCAGGCGGTCCATGCCTCATACCGCCTCATACCTCTACCCCAGGGTACAGACAGAGCATCACCGATGGGGGCTGCGGGCACTTATGTCGGCACTCTGTCAGATTAGCGTTTGTGTGACTCTGTTTCCCTCCTACGTTGATGCAGGACAGCCAGTAAGGAACGCTGCACAATTGCATTGTGTGGATCAGGCTGCGGCTTGGGTCAGCGTAACTGAAGTATGCATCGCACCTATCTCTCGTCGGCAAGGAAAATATTTTTAACAACACAAGCGGATTGGCACATGTCCTTTTCACATGTAATAATGGATGGAAGAGCTCGGTTGTGCAGCTGTTTCCATCTTCTGGTCGTGCGGCTGAAAAGCCAGGCCTTGTTGGCTGAGCCTTGAGGTTTGTGCGTGTCATCGGCCGTGGAGGGTTCGGTGTTGTGAAGATGGTCAGAGCAAAGAAGACCGGAGTGAGGTTGGGACCTCAGCCTGCTGTAAGGTCTTTGATGCAATATTCCGCACATTGCGGACGCAAAGGTATGCCTTGAAGTGCGTCCGATGCACTCGTGTCAGAGCTCAGCATTCTGAAGGAGGCCTGGTTTGTAAAGCACATGCCAACCCCATGCAAAGAACTGTGTAATGCAAAGTGGATCACCCATTCATTATCAAATTCGTCCGGTCCTTTCGAAATGAGTGTGGACCCCGGACACGATGTGTCATGCGGAGCTCAAGGCGTTGGAATGACCTCGCTGAATGTCGCTGAAAGGACACGTGTGTATTTCCTCATGGAGCTGGTAAGCGGCGGTGAGCTCCTGGATGCCCTCGATGCCCTGGGATTGCTGAAGTATTCTCAGGCACCATGCTATTGGCAGTGCACAGCAGCACATGCACACGTCAGCAT